CAACTCCCATTTTATCCTCACATTGGGCAGCTCTACTCTCACTCCCCTCTTCTTTGAACTCATACTGAGTTTATAGGCTTAACTGTGAGAATGCAATCTCGCTTAGGGAAGATTCTACATCTTAGACTTTCCTATCATTCACTTTGTCTAGCAAAGGGTTACGCATGCAATAGGGGTTAAGTTCAAATGTATTGGTTTATAAAGGTAGGACTATGGAGCATAGGCACATATTAGCAGAGCCTTAGGCATTTTTACTTCTAAAGTCTCTCCCATGAACCACTCTCCCAAGTGACAGCCATATTTTTCCCCTTTCTGTTACTGAAGAAAATGTGGTCAAAGCAAGAATAATGTTTTGGCCTAAAATCTGGACACCTAAGAGCTCCAAGCAGGCAATCCAGCTTTCTATTTGAAATCCAACAGAAATCCCATAAGCTTAATTAGGAATTGGATCACCGAAAACTTTATTTTGTGGAAATAATTAAATGTTTTCTCAGAATACAAAAGTATGACAGGTCTTTAAATATGATTCATAGGAGCTCAGTCTAAAATCTTAGTAGGTACCAATATCATGTACGTAACAGCAACTGCTCTTCCCAACCAACTAGCGCAACGTTGTGGCTTTCACAAAGGTACAGTCAAAGTGAGCTTATGTTATTATGGCATCAGAATTTATATCCGTTTCCTAAAGTCCCAGTGAAGAAATTTCCACATCCTGTCTATCACTAGCTAAGTGCTATTCGTATGTCACCTTTCATCTTTGTAGGAATTGAGAGTGAATTAATATTATACACTCCTACAGGTTAGAAAATGGAGTCCCAGCAGGTCAGAGTTGTTATGATTTCAGCCGTAATAAGGCTTTTCATAAGCACAGAAAGCTAAAATAACTTTTAACTGAATAACTTGTTATATGGACAGAAACATATTTTAAAGTGGTGTTTCTATGGGTAAGACTGTTCCTCAAAGGTAAAAAAAAAAAAAAAAAGTTATTGTTCTCAGTTCTAGTTCTAGCAGTTTTATGCATCTACACTATGCATATATGGCATATTGCTGCACACCAGGTGTCAGAATAGAATTATATAAAAACTAACATTTTTTATGGAGTTGTGCTTATGAATTCAAATCATAATACACCTGTAGATAGAAGTACTGGAACAATTTCTTTACAACTGAAGTGATCTGAATAGGACAAGGCTTGTTGTAGGACAGAGAAGACTTAAAAGTAGTAGAATATATTGAAAAGGGTACTGGATTTGGAGCTAAGATACTTAGATTTCAGTAATATTTACTCTTTGTGCTGCTCTGACATGCTCTTTCCCTCCTCTGAGTTTCATTTCCTCATTATTAAAATAATATGATTTGAATGACATGAACTTTAACTTCCTTCTAGCTCCCATTTGGCATAATTTTGTGAGAATCCCCACTCTGGACCCTGCCCCTAACCAATACTGTCACCACTGCCATTGCCGCCATTTATGCAGCTGGTACCAACTCTATAAATCTTCACTCTCAATCTTCCCTGTCTTTTCTCCACTCATCGTTAAGTCACTGGCACCACTAAATAAACATGTTTATCAAATTTACTTCTTCATTTTGTTTAATGCTGAGGCCCATCTGTGGGCTTGTCATCCTGGGAGGAGAATTAAAAATCAAACAGAGAAAGAAAGTTGCTGACGGAGGCCCCTCCCACTCTCTAGAGGACAACTTTCGCATGTCATCTGGGAACTTAACTTGCTTTGCCTCATCTTACCTTTTTCTTTTATTTTTAAGCCACTGAATTTCACATGAATTATCCAAGCCAATCTGATCTCCGTGACTCTGGTGTTCCTGATTCAACAGCTCAAAACCAGAACCAAAAAGTAGCAGCTAGAATTGGGAACTCTGCTGTTTCATGAATAAATCTACATCAACTCCAAATTAGCCTATATGACATCAGAAACACACAGATTTGGACATTCCTGCAAGTATAGACATTTTCTTTTTAGAGGAAGTGAAAATTATTTTTATCCTTAAAATGAATTAAAGCAATTAGGACATTAACAAAACAACAACTTAAAGTTTGAATTTGAACTTTTAGGTATGAATCTTTATTGGATTTTCAATCATTTAGGAAGGTGGCCTAATTAAATATCATTTTTGCCGTTGTGGCAGCATTTTATGGGTGGAAATAATCATGCTCTTTGGGAAGTCCTGGTATCATATCATGTTTCAGTTGTTGGCTTTTTGGCCTGAAACAATTTACTTCATATCCCCAGGCTTCAGTTTCCTCTTTTGTAAAATTAGAATAGTTTCTGCCACATAAATTGTTTTGAATATTAAAGAAAAATGTGTGTGAAAATAATAAACAGACAACCTACACAGTGGGAGAAAATATTTGCAGACTATGCATCTGACAAAGGACTAGAAACTAGAATCTACGAGGAACTCAAACAAGTCAGCAATAGAAAAACAAATAATCCCATTAAAAAGTGGGCAAAGGACATAAACAGACATTCCTTAAAAGAAGATATATAAATGGCCAACAAACATGAAAAAAATGCTCGACATCACTAATCATCAGAGAAAACCAGTGTGAAATAGCAACTTACTGCAAGAATGGCCATTATTAAAAAGTCAAAAAACAGTAGATGCTGGTGTGTATGTGGATAAAAGAGAATGCTTCTATGTTGCTAGTGGGAATGTAAATTAGTACAACTTGTATGGAAAACAATATGGAGATTCCTTAAAGAGCTACAAGTAAATCTACCATTTGATACAGCAATCTTACTAATCACAATTGCAAAGATGTGAAATGAACCTATGTGCCAATTGACTAATGAATGGATAAAGAAAATGTGGTGTATATATACCATGGAATGCTCCTTAGCCATAAAACAGATTGAAATAATGTATTTTGCAGTAACTTGGGTGGAGCTTGAGTCTACTATTCTAACTAAAGTAACACAGGAGTGAAAAACCAAAATCCAGATGTTCTCACTTACAAGTGACAGATAAGCTATGGTTATGCAAAGGTATACAGAGTGATAAATGGATTATAGAGACTCAGAAGGGGGAGGTTGAGACAGGCTTGGCGCAAAAATATTACACATTAGGTACAATGTATACTAGTCATGTGGTGGGTACACTAAAAATCTCAGAATTTACTGCTATTTAATTCAGCCATGTAACA